TTTTTCATGTATGTTTACAGCAGAATGTGCAGAACAATAAATAAAACACTGAAAGGTAATCGGAGGCAAGCACACAGAACCGGTTCAGAGGAATGGACTGAAGTCTGTCTCTTCTTTCAGATCCAGTTCTGTGTGTTTACCTTCAGTGTTTTATTGTCAATGATTTTCTTATTGTAATTGACATTCAGTGTGTTTTTATGGCTAAACGGTGCAACACAATGGGCACTTCTGTCCACATGTACAGCTTCAGCTTCTTTTCAGAAAGAAGCTGAAGCTTCTTTTCTCTATCATTTAATTGTAATTTAATTGTAATTTGTACATTTGGTCACATGCTTTAGATCACATGACCCTGAGGGTGTTCCATCAAAGTCTGGTACAAAATAAGGTTTCACATAATCTCGATTAGAACCCTGCATGAGGTTTTAGCACCAAAAGATGATTTAGGAAGAAATCTGGAAGAAAAAGGAGATGTCTTAGAGGTTGCTCAAGCTGCATGAAGTTTCTGGATGAAGTTTTGAAGCTCCTGCAGATGATTTAGTTTTCCTAAAGAAGGTGTCACAGTCTGAAAATTCAGTTGTGAAGAAAGCACCTTAACAGCTTATTCAAGATTTGAACTGTAGCCAAACACAGAATGAAGATCAGAAACAGAATCTACTGCAGGAGTCAAAGACACAGGCACATCTTTAGTGACGCCAACAGACACACAGTGGAGCTGCACTTTCTACACATCTTTTTATGGACTTTCTAAGTTATTTTTAGTTTCAGTTTGTGTTTGTAGAATAAAATGACAAATGACTCGAATGTGTCTTATTTATTTGGTTGTATGTTTTAGTATAGGACTACAGGGCCATTTTCAAGTGTCTTGAGCAACTTCTAAATATTAATTATGGTAATTTGCATACAATTTGGACCCAAATATTTTGGTCAGATATGGAACCAAATGCAGTGTTCTAATCTAGAGAATCTAAAAAAAATTGTGGGACCACCCTAATGACCCCATACCTTTAAAAGTGCTCAAATGGGAACTGTGAACAATAATCCTTTGTAGTTCTTTCATACATTCTGCTTGCTACAGTTAAAGTGAATTGAATTGATGAATGCTGCGCTGTTTTATGATACAAACTGCAGGAGATCTGGAATAATACCACAATGAAGGATCAGCTAAAAGATACATTCATGATTAGATTATAAAAAGGCTTTGTTAGACGCAAAGACTCTCAGACTTTCAGAAACCTCGGCTAGATGCTTTTAGACTCTCTGATATTTTTTGCCTGTATGTCACCCTGATGCTGGGAATTCATCTGTAACATCCTGCGACAACATGTGACTTCAGTCTGAACGGTCAGGTCACATTCATCCCACCTACACGTCATCAACAAGTGAGTGATACAAACAGGCTTCACAAAGCCGAGCAGAGAAGCACATGTCAATCCCACCACTCTGTGACTCTGCACCCACATGTTCTTTTCTACAGACGTTGCTGCCACTTCCCCACAAAACACCACGAGCAAAAACCTCGTCCTTCTCCTTCCCATGAATGAATAAAACAAAAAACATCTCCAGGTCTGTTTTTGAGGTGGAAACAACATTAAAACATGGCCCAGTTAAAATCATTTTTAAATTTTGTGGGCTATACTTTAGTACTTTCTTCCTGCTACTCCAAACTATCTTCTTCTTCTTCCTCTTCTTCCCTCACTCTCTGATCCTATTGGCTGCAGAGCGCTCATGCCAAGCTTATCTCAGCCAATCAGCTTTGGCCCTGGTCCGTGTCTGACCATCTGCTGTGGGTCCAAATCTGCCTTAAGGACTTAACCTGCCCCAGAGCAACACAGCAGAGGAATAAGTGCACTCCACCTCCTCACACTTCTGTTCAGACAGTCGTACCGACTTTTTCACAATACAATTTTCTTTTCATGTTTGCTTGGAATTTTGTCTTTTTTTGATTGATTAAAACTGGGAAAGTCATGACTAATATTTATCTAGCACATTTTTGCCTATAATATTCCATCGTAATTGTCACTTTTGGGAATTTTGGTTGATTGATCTATATTGGAATATTATTAGAAAGACGCAACAAGATTCCAATTTTTCTAATGCCGACTTTGTAAATAACGTCAGAGGTGGGTAGAGAAACCTGAAATTGTAGCCAAGAAGTAGTAGTAGCATTACTTTAAAATACTATTATTAGTAGTAGTGAAAAGTAGTAGTAGTATGTTAAAATGTAGGTCTTATTTTTGGTGATAATAGTCTGTGATTTATGATTGAGAGGTGTTATGACATAGATAAAAACTTACTTGTAGACTTCAGATAAAACTAAGTACATTTTCAAGTTACTCCTAAATTATTAGTATTGGACCAAGATATAAAAGTGTTTAATAACAGTTATTTATTCATGTAAAACACACTGAAAACACCAAAGGATCATGGTCTATGTAGTTCCCTCTATAGACGCATCAAGAATCTTGGACTTCTGGTCATTGCGCAATTCATACTGGGAAGGATTTTCTGAAAAAGTGAGCATCAAACCTCCATGTTTGTTTTCCCAGTGGGATGTGTCTATTGACAAAGTCGATCTTTTCAAGTCTTTTGAACCATATCACTTTTGTTTCTGGTTCTGATATTGTCAAATTTTAGTTTTGGGATTCAGACATTGTAATTGTGTTGTTGTTGGATCCTAACAGCGAAAAACGGCTTGAGAAATTTGTTTGCGAACTCCATAAATGCAAAATGGAATCAGATGTGTGTGACTCAAACCTCTGTTCAAACTGTTTCCCTTCCAAAGGAGTCGAAAAGTAGTGAAAGGCGAAGGTGATGGGCAGGACTGAACCACAGGAAGGACAAAAAGGTAATTTCTGACAGCCTAAATTATCCCGAGTTTGCTGCGAACATTTTGTATGTGGAGCACCAACGATCCTGTTCAGTGGTGATCAGGATCGTGCAGCGACACTTAAACAGTGAAACAGTTTGACAGACAAGTGACTTTGCAGTATAGCATGTACAGTATGAAGATATTCTAGGGAAGTAACAATAACTGAAATATTGTGATATCGTATTATCAAGTCTCAAAAGGACCATCACAATATATCAAATTACACATTTCCTTGCTTACATACATTGTGATGGTGCAGCAGCTAAAAACCTGAGAGAACTACATAGACCATGATCCTTTGCTCTGTTTCAGTCCAATTTACATGATGAAATAAGTTATGAAGCAGTTTTGAATGATTTCGATTATGATGAGAGAAAAGGAGCATATTCACAGTTTTGTTAGCCTCCACAAAATATCACAATAAATATTCATTCATTCATTTATTTATTTGTTTGTTTGTTTGTTTGAGCCAGGTACAAAAAACATTCAGAAACAATAACAAAAACAGGGATATGTACATGAACAGATTTGGAACCTGGTGCTCAAAAGGAGGAGGATGAAGTTTCAAAAACTTATAGAGTCCTGCCCCTTTTTTAAACACCTTTGGAGTGTTTACCTGTCATGTGTGCATTGTCTAAATATACACACATATATACAAAAACATATCCACACACATACATACATACATATACATGTACACACACATGTACATACATACATACATACATACATACATACACACATGTACGCATCATAGATATCCAGTACATATATTTAATATGAATATATTGATGCATATCATGAAAATATCATATCGAGAGATTTGGATGTCGTTACATCCCGAATAAATACACCAAATACATTCACATTAAAGATAATTTAAGTACAATTGAATACAAAGGTTTATTTATTGAAAGTGTTAAGACCCTGTGTCAAGGCTGCGACAAAAAGAAAGAGGCGAGAGGTTGGATTTGAAAATAAAATATATTTATGAACTAAATCACAAACAGAACACACACTGTTACTGCCTTTTGTCTTTGCACGAAAACGTATTTTTGGCTCACGATACAAAGACAGAATACAGGAACTGACAAATAAGGGTCAAAGGTCAAATTTGAGCTCAATATTTTTAGCATACAAATATTTCTTCATCATAGCAACTAGTTGCAAAATTTTGGGAGCCCTACCCCTGGACAAAATAGAAACATTAAGAGTTAAAATCTTTTGGCTTTGTTGAGCAGTACAGGGTTAGAAGCTTTTACACAGAATAAGAGCCCATGCAGATACAGTGAGCACACCTGACACAAAGGGAGGGCATCTGACACACAGGAACATTTCAGAACATTACAAAGCTTTGGGGGCAGGAGTGCTACTTGGATCTGTAAAAAATGTGCATTGTAATACAGGGTTAAGGGGCTGTAACACCTTCACAATTTAGCCTTCAGTTTCATCACAGTTCCACTTAAAGCTCTCATTTCTCCCACCTCTGATCATATATCAAAGGTGCACTGTGTAACTTTTTGGTTGGGGGTCCATCACCTGCTTGTTTCCATGGAGATGTCATTGCTCTGTCTGGAATGTTCCACAGTATGACATTAAACACCTCTACTTTACGTTTATTCAATCACAGGTGGATTTTATAGCTCAAAAATACCTCAAAAAACTAAAGACTAAACCTGGACTAAAGTAAACCTGGACTAAACCTAAACCTGGACTAAAATCTGGGACTAAACCTTGGACCTAAACCTGGACTAAACTTGGACTAAACCTGGACTAAACCTGGATTAAACCTGGACTAAACTTGGACCTAAACTGGACCAAAACCTGGGACTAAACCTGGACTAAACATTAAACAGCTCTACTTTACGATCATTCAACCACAGGTGGTTTTAAAGCTCAAAAATACTCAGAAAAACAGACATTCTGACTGTGAGCAGGGTCACCTCTCCACAGATCTGACCTGTCACTTGGTCTGGTTTGGTCTCCATGAAGATAGAAAGATTTAATGCCACACTGTGAAACATTCCAGACAAAGCAATAATAATAATCTCCAGTTTAGAAAAGCTTTTGCCGGACCCTCCACCAGTAAAGTTACACAGCGCAACTTTAAGTAAACTTTTGAATCTCAGAAATGTCGACGCGGGCGCTGCCTCTCGTCTTCATAAACCTCGGAGGGGAAATGCTTTACATTTTGGACCAGCGTTTACAGAGCAGCAACACGACTGAAGACGGATCTGAAAAAGGTACAAAGCTCTAAACTATCCTTCACTCCAGCGCATAAATCTGTCTCTGTTTCAAACCTGAGTCGTAAAAATAAATGAAATAACTGTCTTTTTTTTTTTGCTGCAGGGCTGTGGACAGAGGGAGACCGCCGGAGAGGTAAGAACTCTTTGAAGAAAAACACAAGAAGAAATGTCAAGTGTATAGAAGTGTCAAAACAAACCAAAAGGTCACGACTTAAAGACACATGAGGTTTGAAATATACCAAAAATGATTAGCTCTGGACTAAACATGGACTAAACGTGGACCAAACCTGGACTAAATGTGGACTAACCCTGGACTAAATATGGACTACTGCAGATTAGGTGAAAACACTTTAAAGTTTGAGCAGAACATGCAAAAACACAAAGAAAAAAGTGTCAAAACAAACCAAAAGGTCATGATCGAAAGACAGATTCATTTGAAGTTTGAAAAATCCCAAAAATGATTAGCTCTGGACCAAACCTGGACTAAACCTGGACAAAACCTGAACTAAACCTGGACTGACCCTGGACTAAATGTGGACTACTGCAGGAGATGTGAAAACACTTGGAAGTTTGAGCAGAACATGCAAAAACAGAAGAAAAAAAGTGTCAGAACAAACCAAAATATCTCAACTGAAAGGCAGATTCAATTGAGGCTTTAAATATACCAAAAAATTAGCTCTGGACTAAACCTGGATTAAATGTAGACTACCATAGGAGAAGTAATAACTCTTGGAAGTTTGAGCAGAACATGCAAAAATACAAGAAAAATGTCAAGTCAATATAGGTGTCAAAGTAAACCAAAAGGTCACAATTGAAAGTACCAAATAATATACCAAAAAGTGTTATTGACTCAGTACTGAAATGAGTTTTGTCTCCTGATGACACCACCGTGAAGGAGCATGTACGGATTAAAAAGCACAGGACCTAAAATCAAACCCTGGGGCACACCACATGTGATTATATGCACTAAATACTAATAAAAAACTGAGCTGTTATATGAATAAACAAAGTGAGTGTAGAATTATAATTATTCACTCATACATTTGAGTGTCAGTGAGTCAAACCAAACTTACACTTAACTCTTTCACTGCCAGACCCTTTTTGTTTTGTTTTTTGTTTTTGTTTTTGGTTTAGTTTTTTTTTTTTTTTTGTAAAAACAACCTTTAGCCTATCAAAGTTTTTGCTGATTTTCAACAACTTTGCAATCCATGTAAAATGTGAATTTCAAAGGAAATTACCTCTGCTGGATATGCACAATGCCCCTCCCCCACAAAAAAATAAAATAACAAGAAGAGTTATAACATTATGAACATCAATAATGAGCCAATAATGTAATAACAAACCAATAATGTAATAAATTACGTTACTGACGTGGTGTTATTATGTTCTTGGTTCAGTCAAGTTATTACATTATTGAACACTGTTATGTTATGCACTTCTTACAATTAAAACTGATCAGAATTATTGTGTTATTGGATGTTATTACATTATTAGACCATTATTATGTTATCGGATAAAACTGGGTTGTGCAATGCAAGACAAAGGATCCATAATCATACTTGTCTCTTATAAAGAACATGTTGGGATTATGTTGGGCTGATGCTAAACCTTGGTCTTGGACCAAACCTGGACTGAACTTGAACTGAACCTGGACTGAACTTGAACTCAACATAGACTGAACCTGGACTAAATACGGACTGAACTTGAACTAAACCTGGACTAAACATGGACTAAACCTGGACAGAACATGGACTAAATATGGACTGAACCTGAACTAAACCTAGACTAAACCTGGACTGAACATGGACTCACCTGAACTAAGCCTGTACTAAACCTGGACTAAACCTGAACTAAATCTGGACTAATCATGGACTCAACCTGGACTGAAACTGGACTGAGCCTGACTAAACTAAGGCTAAACATGGACTGAACCTGAACTAAATCTGGACTGAACATTGACTAAACAGTTAATTGTGGACTAAATGTGGACTAAACGTGGACTAAACCTGGTCTCTTGTGTCCTCAGTGCTGAATGACATCGTGGGGACATTGTTCAGTAAAGCTTTCTTGGACGAGCTGTTTAAACCTCAGCAGTTGTATTCTCACAGAACCATGAAGACGGTTCTGTCCAGACTGGCCCAAGGATCCATCATGAGACTCAACCCAGCCTCCATGGACCGGGTAAGGACCAGGCCGGGTCTCAGGGTTAGACTGGGTAAGGACCAAGTATTAGGTTAAGACATAGTACAAAGGAACAGACCATGAAATTAAATCCATATCTTTGTTTTAGCTTTTACCTCAAGTTCACTTCTCAATGCAGCAGAAAATGAGGTTCTGGCGCCCTCTGCTGTCTTTTACTATCATTTCATGCCAATTGAGTCTCCC